ACAGTAAAGAGATAAATTAAATTGGTTTGTACATCCTGCTTTTATTTTTTTATGACATGGTCAAATTTTCTATTTATCATTATGACATGAGAAAATTAGGTATAAAATATTTAACCCTCCACCATTTGGAGGCACTTGAAGGCCTAGATACAAATGGCCTTGCTGAGGCCATGATGGCACTTGGGTGGACCGTGGACAGAGCCTTGCAGCCATGCTGAGAGCAATGACACCTTAGCTACAGTGGGTTAGGGGGGCTAGCCCAGGTCTTGGTTTGACCCAACTGCTGACCTGTAGGTAAGAGAAATGACACCCTAACCGTAGCTGTGTGAGGCATGTCCATGACATTGTCTGGTTACTATGGTGGAAGATGCTAGGATTTAAGGTTGAGGCAAAGGACAATGCAAAACACAGTGTCAATAAAGGCTCGTTTGACATGAATTTTGGAAAGTCGAAAAGGAAATTTTGAGATTCAAGAGTTGCTTTTTAACTATTTGATTTACTTTATGAAAATTCTTAAAAACTGTGAGGAAGATGGTTCAATGTGATTTCCTATAAAAGCACTTTTGGAATAGTAAGCTCTTTTAAAATTTAGTTTTCAAGAAAAAATTAAGGTAACTTTTTTCAAAAGTTTTTCTACTGAAGCAAAACTAAAAGTAAAAATAATACCAAACGGGCCCTAAGACAAAGTACGCATTGGCAAAACAACAAAACATATGGCAAGGAGCTGGAAATGATTTCACATTGCTGGGTGATAGGCATTGCATATTATGTTGCACCCTAATAGGGTGTATGTGAAAACCCTGTTAAGATATTGGCAGTCCGATCGCACTAAAAGGAAAAGATTTGTTCATGCTATTCCAACAATTTTCCCTTTGAACGAATTACCTTATCAACGTAGTCGTCCTTCAAGAGATAGACCGCAAATCTATCTCTTACGTAGACACAATTGCCTCATGAGCCAATCACGATTTTTTTTTTTTTTTGCATATCACGTTCTAATTTTTGGCCCATTACCTTTTCCGTACAATTGGGGACCTAGTTCTGATATAAGGGAAAGGAACTCACATCTCATAATGTAAACTCATTAGGTGGCCTAACTCATCCATTATAAGTCCATAATTTACCTCACGATGTGAGAATTCATTTACACAATCTCAACAATTTTCTTATCGACACATGATAACTACATTAAAACTACCTCACTTTAGTGTATATACCCGTGTTGTCATGTAATTGGTCATAGGGATGGTAATGAAGTTCGAGTGCGTGTCGACATGTCCTGTGCCTCGTCCACAAATTTTGTCACTGTCCTAATCCCCACCTAAGGCCGGGAGGGATGGGGTGCCAGGTTTATAATTTATTTATTTATTTTCCTATAAATTCTATGAGGTATTTAAATATTTAAATTATTAATAACCTGTCCAAATATATAAAACTTGATACTTACTAACGACAAGTTTTTTAATAAATTTATCTTTCAACACATTTACTTTAAGAATTCGTTATGAAATTCCTCAAATCAGTTTATTGTAAGAGATATTTTTTTAAAACAAGGTTTTTTTGTGCCTTCTAGCTCCGCCCCTAATTGGCGCTTTAGTACGGGATTCATTTTTTTCAACGTCGAAAAACTACAAATCATATTAAAGAATGAAGGTTTATAATTAATGTAGTTCATTTTTTATGTCACAATTATTTAAGTATTTGTTTTCAATATAAACAATAAATATTTAATGTAATATCTAAAATATGATAGCTAAAAATAAAAAATTAAATGTGGTGGGGGAAACTCACCACCCTGCATACCTCCGCCCTGAAACTGCCTCCCGCCCCAATTGGGTGGATATTGATGGGGCTGCTCGGGTTTTGATGGTGCAAATTGTCATCCTAATGGAACAATCTACGTCCAAAGAAAATATAATCATGCTACATTGACAAATAGGTTGACATAATCCTTAATATAATGCCACATGAAATTCTATTACTGAACTGTTTAAACGACAGTCAACTTTTTCATTCACTTATATTTTGCCAACAATCATTATATCAAGGCACTGTCTTTCGGGCAAAGTAGCGTTATTCAAGAAATCAATGAAAAACACACTGCATGAATTTCAATGAATTCGTAATCATTTGACAAACTGTAGACAAGCCCATGGCTATATGGGACCATGCTATGTGTACATAGCATGTTCCATAGCATGTTACATAATGTGAGAGGGCGCGGGCCCCACCCCCTCTCACATTATGTACACCTCCATGGATATTGCTATGATACCAATTTTTCGAAGCTGGTGTGCGGAATGTAAAATTTCAAAATTATTCATGACAATGGATTCCAACTGGCATACAAGTATCAAATAAATATTTAAAAGATCTTTGCAAAACTAAACCTT